GAACAAACTAAAACAAAATAAACCAGTTGAGGTTCATTCTTAAACAATAGGTAACATTTAACTAAACTAGATTACAGTTTCCGGATGTAGAAGGTGTTAAATTGTTATATCTTCATATGGCAATTCTAAATAATTTGGAATGCAGATATTATGGTTTAGAAATGCTACATAAGCATGCAAGGCTACAAATCTCTAATTTTGTTTGCTGTGGATAAATTGACAGTTGCATATATGGGATGTGTTGTCAATTATGAGAGGTTGTTGGAATAGACCTAAATCAGTATATTCTTATATATATACTCTGCTCTAATCTATCTTGTTGGAATTTAATTGATGTTTGTATGTATGTTATAAATCATCCGTTATTAGATTTTGGAAAGTAGCGTGTGTAAGCATGTTAATTTACAGAATTGTATCATGCTTTATATGGAATCATTGATGCTTATACTTAATGTATTTTTATCAATTGTGGACTTCCTGGAATGGTTGTAGTTATATATATATGTTTTGTATGACCAACACTGGATCGATGGTTTGTATGCACCGATATGGGACGGTGACATACTAGGGGGATTAGCTTCAAAAACGCTAAGTCCTACCTATTCTGGATTAAGGAATGGATTAACTAAAAGTTAAATCCTATGGATTTGTAGTGTCATGGCAACAACTAGTTGAGCGGCACTACTATGGATTCTAATGGAATTTAAATATATTTTTATGGTGCCACGATATGAGCCTTAGTCTCAGAGTCGTTGGTTAAGGAGCGTATATGCATTGGGATGCATAGCTGGCTATGATGGTTAGATATGTACCCTGCTAGGTCTAGGTAGTCATGCCCACCTCAGGTGCGTTTTTCATATTGCATACTAGCTAGGTTGAGACGGGCCTATAGTCCAGTGAGAGTCCTGTAGTGTGAATATATATATATATATATATATATATATATATATATATATATATCTACGGACTATTTAGTTATTGTTGGATTGGTTAGGATGTACATGCGTATTGAGTCTCTGTTTGGATTGTAGTAGGATAGAACTTGTTCGTGGGCCTGACCCACTTCTATTTTTCAGGTGTTTGACAATTCCAGTCATAGACTTGATCGTGCTGAGCAGAGACTGTTACTCACTCTTCCGACTACATAGGATGTTCTTTCTTATTTTAGTTTCAGTTTTTAATTCTGTAAATTTATTTATCGTTTGGGATTATTAGGGGTCCACTAGATGGATTCCCGAGTTGTACGGATTTGAAGGATTTAAATGATATTAACTTATTATTTAAAGTTTGAGGATTTTTATTTTAGATTTCTTTCAGCGTATTATTAATTTATTCTTAATTCAGTTTTTATTCCTGCTTGTTTATATATTGATTATCTGATATCCCTCGGATCTGTACTCGGACTTGATCACCCGTGGCTCTAGAAACGAGGGGTATCACAGAGGATGCCTTGCTGGTTTATGTGACCAAGGTCCTCCACACAGTCGTCATTTAATTCCTCCACTGGTAAAATAGAGTGATGAGAACTACCTCTTCCCTTAGGATTACGAATAACCGATTCAAGATGCAAATTAGGAGGGACAAGAGTAGGATTTAATGACCTACGACCATGCATACACTAGCTAAACAAATAACAAGGAAATAACAATCACTTCGCCCCCACAACAAATCAATTAACAAACATTCTCCACATACATTGGTCCCATACTCCCATGCTTGAACAACATGCAAAGAAAAGTAAATTGCCTCCACGCGGGCTCACGATTTATCTAAGAATTGAAAAACTTGCCACCACGTGGGCTGACGATTTAACTAGAAATTGAGTTTAAAAGATCTTATAAAGGGTCTTTAAGCAACTTCAATTCATTTTTAAGTCTTAAGCTTTGCTATGCTTTGCAAATTTTTAGATTTTAGCTCCTTTTAGTTTTTGCTTAGCTTCACTTGGCTTCCTTGCTTTCAATTCTCTTTTGCTCAACTTCCTTGGCTCAATTCACCTAATCAAATATGAACAAACACAATAAGTAACAAAAAAGAAAATAAAGTAAAGACACGATCAAAAGAGTACTAATTCCTATTTGTTTCCAAAACACGGCGTTGCCAATTTGAATACCCAGCAACGGCGCCAAAAACTTGGTATGATGCCGTCGGTTGCACCTAAATTTGCAATAAAATAATGTGGCCAAGTTTTAAATTTATAAATGTCACTACTACCTCTAACTAAAAAGGTAGCTAGGGTGAGTAGGGATCGTCCCAAGGGATTTTTAGGTGTACTTGTAATGGAAACAATGTGTAGGGTTAGTAGGTCGAGTGATCAAGAGATGGTGTGTTTGGTTGAGTAGACTACAAATTAAACTAAACAAGTTCAATGTAGAATAAGCAAATTAAATGAAATTTAGAGAAAACAAGAGAGTGAGGTCTTGAGGTCTAGAGGTCACCACTAAACATCACCATTCTAGACATTCAATGCATAATTAATAAGGGGAAACACGTGTTGCAATTTGAGACTGTGTGATTGATTGTTTCAACAAGTATGGATGACCAATTAAGCATATATTGTCTAAGCAATCTAGTGAATAGTACAATACATCAAATTAAGCCATTAATCCTTCCTTTAAGCTCACAATCCAAACACATCACATGGTTAGAGAATAATACTACTTGCATTCATAAGCATGGAACATCAAACAACAAGCATGGATTGTCCTCCCATCTAACAACTAAGGCAACTACACTACAACTAAGTTAAGGGCATGAAAATTAAACTAAAGAAACTAAGAGAGAGGCACAATCCATCAAGACATGAGTATGAACCATCAGATAAACCATAATAGTATCTATTAAGCACTATGCCTTGACAATCTCTAGATCCATAGCATCAACACACAAAGACATGCATCAATAATACAAAAACTAGAGATAAATACATGAACATCTATTCTAGCATACATAGACATATGGAGAGAATGAAATGATCAATTGGAAGTATTGAACCACACAAATCATTGAATAAACAAGATTTATATATAAAATAAATGTCAAGACAAGATTATAACACAAATCCCCTCAAAATACAAAGCATTAGAGTCTAGAAGGCATGCTTAGGGCTAGCTCTAGCCCCAAGAAGATGTTTAGCCACTCATTGAAGTAGTCATCCAACCCTCAAGGGCTATTTCCATGGTAGGAATGACCTCCTTCTTGATAGAAACCCTAGAAGAATGGAAGAACTCCCAAAAATATGTCTCTAGCCTCTCCTCCTCTCTTTTCTTCCTCTCTAAGGATGTTTCTAAGTTTATTAGATGATATATGAGATATGTATATCCTCTTGTAAAAGAAACTGAAAATCCTTATATAGGTAGGTCAAGTGTCACACCCAATGGTCTGGATTCATGCACTAGGGTCCTTGCAATGATTGCACTATGAGCCAACTTTTAATGAGCTGGACTTATTTTTTTCGGACTTGAGGAGGTTCGATCGATCGAACTATGCTGAGATCGATCGAACTGTGGTGAGATCCATCGAACTGTGGTGAGATCCATCGAATGCTGCAGAGATCAATCCATACTTGGCAGCACCTTTTTGAATAAAGACAAATCTCTGAGATATTTTGGGATATTTTGGGAAATAGACAAAAGTGGTAGGTAGGGTGGTAGGTGTGGATAAGATCAAATACGTTCGATCGATCGAAAAATGGTTGGATCGATCGAACATTGTGGAATCTTTTAGATAAGGACAAGGGCTTGGATCCATCTTGAAGTGTCCAGATCGATGTTGCTTTGATTGATCGAAGTGATGTTGAGATTGATCGAACTTCCTAATTTCCACACGTTACTTCCTTCTGCTTCCACTTTGCTCCTTTCTTCCATCCAGCTTGAGTTAGCTTCTTTAATGCTCTTATTTGGCTGAATTAACTTATTTTTGGGATAAGTGTCTGAAAAGGGCAATAACATGAAATTAGTCTAAAATAGGAAACTAAGATAGATAAAGGTCCTATAATACCTAAGCTTAAGGGGTTTAATTGCGCACTTTTCAGTGCTCATCACTTTCCCTCTAAGTCCTCTAACCCGTATGTTCCTGGTCGCTAACATCGCGTAACTTTGTAAGGCCCTTCCCATTTAGGACCCAGTTTCCCTATTGTTGAATCCTTAGTTGCTTGAGTAACTTTGCGGAGTACTAAATCTCCTACTGAGAACCTCCTAAGCTTGACCCGACCATTGTAATACGTGGAAACCTTGTGTTGATAGGCAGCCATCTTAATCTGGGCTTGGTCTTTCCTTTCTTCGGTCAGGTCCAAGCTTACTTCCAACTCCCTTTCGTTCTGCTTGGGCTCATAGTGCTCCGTCCTAAAACTTGTTAGGCCAACCTCTACCGGTACTACTGCCTCACTCCCAAACACTAAAAGAAAAGCGGTTTCCCCTATGGGAGTCCTTACAATAGTACGGTAAGCCCATAGTACACTCAGCAGCTGCTCAAGCCACAGTCCTTTTGCAACGTCAAGTCAAGTCTTGATCATCTAAAGGATTATTCTGTTAGTGACTTCGTCCTATCCATTCACCTGGGGATGTCCTGGCAATGAGAAATGAATTTGAATCCTGAGCTCGGAACAAAAATTTTTGAAGTCAGAGTTGTTGAACTGTTTTGCATTGTCTATGACAATCACTCTAGGAATCCCGAATCTGCAACCTATTGATTTCCACACAAAATTCCTTATATTGTTCTCTGTGATCTTGGCCAGAGGCTTAGCTTCTACCCATTTAGTGAAGTAATCAACCATAACAATGGCATACTTAGTCTGCCCTTTGTTCTTGACGAGAGGGCCAATCAGGTCCATTCCCCATTGAGCAAATAGCTATGGTCCTGACATGGGAGTCATCTCCTCTAACGATTGTCTCGGGATGTTGGCAAATCGTTGACACTTGTCACACCTTTTAACGAAGTCAAGTGCATCTTTTTACATGGTGGGCCAATAGTATCCTTGTCGGATGGCCTTGTTAGCAAGTGACCTACCCCCAGCATGGTTTCCACAAACTCCTAGGTGGATCTCCCTCAAAATGTAGCCAGCATCGTAAATACAGCATGGAGAAGCTTCTCTTGTAGATCACCCCTTTGATAAACATAAACCTAGCAGCTCGCATCTTAACCTTTCGAGCTTCTGCTCGGTCTGTTGGTAGCACCCCATCCTTGATATATCTGATGATAGGATCTGCCCATTCCACACTCAATATCGCTTGTTGCACTTCAATTTGTCTCTCCTGAGATATAGATGGTTCATCCAAATATTCCAGTAGTATAGTCTTATTGATCTCAGGTTCCAATGCAGTAGCTAGCCGGGCTAAGGCATCTGCTTTCCCGTTCTCTTCTCGTGGTATTTGATGAATTGAGAATCTTTGGAAATGATTCTTTAATTCCTCCACCTTCTGTAGGTAACTCTTCATCTTCTCGTCCTGTGCCTCATATTCCGCTTAAACTTGTCCAGCTACCAGCTGGGAGTCGATGTACACCTTTAATTACTCAACCCCTAGGGCATTTGCCACATTTAATCTTGCTAAATCTTGCTATCAAGGTTTCGTACTCTGCCTCATTGTTGGTTGCTTTGAAACCAAACTGAAGTGCATACTGTATACTTTCTCCCTCTGGGGAGCAAGAACAAACCCGGCTCCGCTAGCCTGAACATTAGATGACCCATCCACAAACAAGTTCCAGACTACTTCTGGGCCTATCTGTTCACTTGAACCTGGTTCTGTCAAAAATTGGGGTTGTTTCTCCTCTTCTGGAGGGGTAAACTCAACTAAGAAATCAGTCAACACCTGAGCCTTTGCTGCTGTTCTTATCTTGTACTGAATATCGAACTCTCCTAACTCTACTGACCACTTCATCAGTCGACCAGAGCTTTCTAGCTTGTGTAAGACCTGTCGAAGGGGTTGATCTGTTAGCACCACTATCCTATGCGCTTAAAAGTATGGTCTTAGTTTCCTGACGGACATAATTAAAGCAAAGGCTAACTGTTCCATCCTTGGATATCTTTCCTCTGCACCCCTAAGTGCTCTGCTCATGAAGTACACTAGCCTATGGACCTCTTCTTCTTCTCGTATCAAAGCTGACCTGACAGCTGTCGTGGAGATCGCAAGGTATATGTATAGTTCCTCTCCCGGTATGGTTCGAGACAGTAATGAGGGAGAATTAAGGCATTGCTTTAGTTCTTTGAACGCCTGCTCACACTCTAAGGTCCATTTAAAAGCCTTCCTTAGCACATGAAAGAAAAGTAGACACCTGTCAGTTGACCGAGAGATTAGCCTACTCAAGGCAGCAATCTTCCCTGTTAGTCGTTGTAGATCCTTGGTTGATATTGGCGATCTCATGTCAATGACTGCTCGGATCTTCTCTGGATTGGCCTCAATTCCTCTTCTGCTTACCATATATCCCAAGAATTTTCCTGAGGAAACCCCAAAGGCACACTTGTTGGGGTTGAGTTTCATCTTATGCCTCTTAAGTACCTCAAAGGTCTCCTACAGGTCAGTCAAATGGTCTTCAGCTATTAAGCTTTTCACCAACATGTCATCAACATATACCTCCATATTTCTACCAATTTGGTGCTTAAACATTGCATTCATTAGCCTCTAGTATGTTGCACCAGCTTTCTTGAGCCCAAAAGGTATTACTTTGTAATAGTACATACCTCTATCAGTGATAAAGGCTATTTTTTCTCTATCTGAGGTGTACATAGATATCTGGTTGTATCCAGAATATGCATCCATGAAACTTAGTAGTTCGTGTCCAGCCGTTCCCTCAACGAGCATATCGATTCTTGGGAGAGGAAAGTTGTCCTTCGGGCAAGCTTTGTTAAGGTCGGTGAAATCCACACATAACCTCCACTTTCCATTTGCCTTCTTCACTAGGACCGCATTTGCCAGCCAGTCGAGGTAGTACACCTCTTAAATAAAGTCAGCTTTTAAGAGTTTTTCCACCTCTTCTAATATAACCTGATTCCTCTCTAGAACGAAAGTCCTCCTCTTTTGCCTGACAGGTTTGAAGTTAAAATTTACATTTAGGCGGTGCTCCATGATAGTGAGGTCTATACCCGACATGTCTTCATGCACCCATGCAAATACGTCTCGATTCTTCCTGAGGAATTGAGTAAGTTCATCTTTGATACCTAGGGGGAATAAAGACCCTATACTCACTTTCTTCTCGGGCTCACCATCACCAAGGATGACCTCTTCTAGCTCCTCTGTAGGTTCCGCTCTATGAAAGTCTGGCATATCTCTCCCTTCCAGCCCTTTAATCGTAAGTGCCTCTTGCACTTTTGTTTTTCTGAGAGAGGCGTCATAACATTCTCGATCCATTGTTTGGTCCCCTCTTAGCTTTCCCATACCATATTCAATTGGGAAACGCATCAGGAGATGGTAAGTGAAAGTGATTGCTTTCATGGCATTCAATGTTTTCCTCCCCAGTATAATATTGTATAATGATAGACAGTTCACCACTACAAAGTCCACCATTACAGTGACCAGCTTTGGATTGGCTCCTGCAGTGACTGGAAGGGTAACTGCCCCCAGTGGATATACTTTGTCACCTGAAAATCCCACCAGTGGTGACTTCATGGGTCGAAGCTTCTCTTGGCCGATTTTTAATTTGTCATACACCCCAATAAATAGTATGTCAGCTGAGTTACCATTGTCTATCAATATTCGTCGAATAGTGAAATTAGAGATGACCATGGAAACTTCCAGAGGGTCATCATGGGGCTAGTGAATTCCCTTGTCATCTTCTTCAGAAAAGGTTATGACTGGCTCCTCAACTCGCAGTAATTTTGTTAGAGGACTTGTCACTTTAACTTCATTCACCTCTAAAAAACTCCAAATTCTCCTGGCATGAGCCCTCCGAGCCGAACTCGTCTCCCCACCACTAGCGAAGCCACCTGATATAACTTTGATCTCACCCATTGGTTGGTATTGAGGAGGGTGATCATCTCGGCCCTCTCGGGCTGAGTTGGAGCCTCCTTTTTCCATTCTCAGTCGTAAATTTGCGTAAATGACCCTTACAAACAAGGTTCTTGATCTGGTTTTTATGGTCGAAACAATCTTCTGTGTTATGTCCATGGCCCCGGTGGAACCTACAGTATTTATCTCGAGACCTCTTTGTTGGATCAGATTTTAGCTTTGGTGGCCATTTCAATGATGCGTCATCTTAAATCTGCAAAAAAACCTGCTCTACAGATGTATTTAGGGGGGTGTAGTTATTATACCTGCCTGGGCTCACTGGACGGCGAGATGATCTGTCAGCCTGGCTGTTTGAGAATTTCTTGTACTTCGATTCCCTTTCCTCCCTAGTGCTAGATGCTAGCCTCTTTTTATCCAACCTCTTAGCTTCATCATCTTTGTTTTTTTGTGCATTCATAGCATCCTCAGCATTCATGTGCTTCCGCGCCCTAACCATTAACTCTGTCATGCTCGTAGAGGCTTCCTTTGACAAGGAAAATAGGAACTTAGAGGTCTGTAGTCCTCCCATAAAGGCTGTGAGGGCAACCTTGTCGTCCATCTCTTTTACCTGCAGCATTTTAGTGTTAAAATGACTTATGTAATCACGAAGAGGCTCTCCCTTTTGCTGCTTCACATTTAGTAAATGTGTTGCTGGTCTCCTATACCTCTGCCCAGCGATGAAGTGTCCTATGAATTGTTTGCTCAATTCTTCAAAGTTTTCAATGGAGTCTGGTTTTAATTTATTGAACCAGAGATGAGCCCAACCCTTTAGTGTGGTAGGGAAAGCCCTGCACATAATCTTGTCTGGTACGGCTTGTAAATATATAAAAGCTTTGTAGGTCTCCAAATGGTCGAGAGGGTCCCGCGTCCCATCGAAGCTCTCAAGAGTTGGCATCTTAAATTTGCTAGGTAGAGGATAACTCATAACAACTGGGCTAAAAGCTAGGTTGGTCTTCTATACCATATCGTTCACTACAGCCTGGCGCTTCCATTTCATCGCGTGCATGACGTCGTCAACTCTAGCTTTCAGATCCTGAATCTCTAGATCGAAATAAGTGGCGTTCTCAGTCTTATCACCAACATAACTAGAAGTATCTCCACGAAGCCTAGTGGTATTCCGTTTAGGGGAACGATGGTGATGGCTCCTCTATTGACCCCCTATTTGACTAAGCTCAACATCGTTGTTAACCCTACGGGAGTCATTGTTGGGTACTTCACTGTTTCTCTCCTAGTTGGTGGCGGCTAAGCGTTGCAGAATCATCGCATTTTGTTGGACTAAGGTTTAAACCTGTTGTTCCAACGCTACGACACGTTCCTGATCGTTTGAGACGACCCGCGACCGAGGGGGGGGTGGGTTGCCCCGTCGAGTCCCTTTCATCAGAAGCCAACGCTTCGTCCTTGCCAGCAGCCAGACCAGATCGCAATAGAACCATGCTTTGTTTAGAGAACAAAAATATGTTCCCACAGACGGCACCAACTGTTGAGGATGGATTCTACGCGACCCGAATCTGATCTGACTTCCTGAACAAAGAGAAAAAAAGATGATCCTACAAACACCGGTGTGTTACCAGTGAAGTAGGCCCCGATGAACAAGTCAGTATGCGAAGTAATCTCTCTGGAGAAATCAATAAATTGAGTTAGGATTTATTACGTACCTCTAAACGTCGATTAGCCCCATTTATTTATAGAGCTTAGGTCAGGATGTCACGTAGAGTTACCGCTGTCTTCATCCTTATCGTAATCTGTAGATTTAATCCTTATCGTAATCTGTAGAGCCTATCTCAATCTTATGAGATAGCACGTTAATTTAACAACCTTCCCTTATCTACGGGTATTTAATTTATACATCCATCAATATATATCAAAAAAATTTGATATGAACACTAATAATAAATTAGAATTGATGGAGATTGGAAATAAATAAAAAGATTTTGGAAAGTACCTATTTAGGGAGATAGAGAGATGGTACTATCACCTCTGCACATAATCTCGTTGTTGCCCCATCTCACAAAGGAACGTGTGATTTTACATATAAGGGGAAATGGGTGAAAATCACATGGAAGTATGACACAATTTTTTAATTATAAAATAAAAAATAAATAAAGAAATAAAAAGGTGTTCATTTGACGATATTAGAATATTAGAATAGTTAAAAAATATATATATGAAGATTGATAAAGTGTTGTTTGAAAAACAAGGTAAAATCAAATAAAACCATCTTTTATATAATCATATAATCTCATGTAGTATTAAATAATTCCTATACTAACAAAATTGATCATTTTACCCCCACTAATAAAAGTGATTCCTATACTAACAAAATTGATCATTTTACCCCCACTAATAAAAGTGATTGTTTGTTTTAGCAGAAAATATTTTTGGTGTATATTTTTTATTATTAGTTGTTGTAAAATATATACAAAAAAAATTAAAGTTAAAAGCTAACAAAAATAACTTATTTATTAATTTTTAATAAGTCATTTTACATATCCTACCTGATGGACTCGACTTCAACCGCGACTTAGGCCTTTGCCAAATACCGAAAAACAAAAATAAAAAAAAAAGATATTTTACCTAATAAAAAAATATATTTTTTACGCTTGTTTGGTGATGATAAATCTATTACCTAGATAATCAACATAATTAATCTTACTATTTTATTTTTAATTTAAAAGCTGGACATTTTGGTCATATGGATTTTTAATTTAAAAGCTGGACATTTTGGTTATATGGAGAATAAGCAGTTGGTGTCTGATGACGAAAACTTTGACTCACTACTATCTTTTATCTTTGAATCATTTGAGATAATTTTTAGTCGTATTCTTTTTATGGACTTATATATTACCTCCTTACCATATTAGATGTCCACCTCAAAATTTTTGAATTTTCGACTTATTATAAGTCAAAATTTTCGACGTGGACATCTAATATAGTACGGATGTAATAGTATGTGAGGATTTCATGATATTAACGTAAAATTAAAATTTTAGAGGTTGACTAATTATGGTTTCGCTATGTAAGCTAGGCCTTTATGTGGACTAGTGGGAATGAATTTCTGTTTGAAAATAAGAGAAAATGAAATTGAATTAAGAGGTGGGAGGGTGACAATTTGTGTTAGTAAGTCATTTATATTCATGTCATATCAACAAAATAATATTATGTTACATAAGTTAATTAAAATCCGGTTTGTTTAATAATTGTGTAAAAAAATTCTTGACATTAATATAATTCGTTTATTAAATAGGTAACACAATACAACTCATGTAACCCGTTTAATAAATGAGTCATGTAATGCACAACACGATCCGTTTAATAACTTATTTAACCTAATTAAATTAAATGGGTCATGTAAACAGTTTATTAACTTAGGTATAAAATGCAAATATTCATTCAACACAATTACAAAAACAAAAATAAATATAGTATTCATATTAGATTTATATTAAAATAATAAAAATGTTCTTAGCAATTGAGTAAAAATAAGCTACGAGTTTATTGGATTAACTTGATACGATTAATTAAATGACTCTAATTTTTTTTTTTTTTTTTTGATCATTGCAAAGCCATAGAGATCAAGCCTTTAATGGCAATATAGAGGCAAAAGTCAAGCCAAATAAAGGCATACAAATCTTGAAGTAAAATAAGAAAAATTGAAAAATAGGCTTCAAATTTGTTGAGAACAAGAATCAAAGCTCAAGAACGAAAACCACCAAAGAAGAAGAGCAGCAACAGAAGGAGAGACCCAAAAACCTGATCACAATAAGTCTAATCAAATCATATAAGTTTAAGTTCCAAAACACGAACACCATTATAATCGACCCAAACTCACTAACTTGGTGTCGAATTTGCCACTAAAATATTCCTCAATTAATAATGAAGACTCTTGTAATTGGGACTGACTTGCATAGTTGAAAATTATTAGAAAATTATTTTTCATATAAATCATTTTACCTCCAAATGATTAAAAATGATTTATAAAAAAAAAAAATTCCGTAAGTTATTTTTTTACAGGTTACCTTGAGTCATTTAACTATCCACATTCTTATTAAACTCTTATGTCCTTTTTGGTCATTTAACCCTTACCCAAAACATTTTACGGAAACAAAACTGATTTTTGTAAGGCCCATTAGAGAAGAGCCCAATGGATAAATAATAAATATTGGATCCCAATGCCAATAATGTGGATCTTAAGCACGAGAAATCAACACTACTTGAGAAGTATAAGGGCCCTCTTAGATGGCCCGCCCGTATAAGAGTACCCGAAGGACACTGGACCACATTATTGGTCCAATTGGTACATCCTAAAAAAATGTCACTATGAGCAAACACTCTGCAAGTATATGTATTTATTTTGGGTAATTAGTGGGTGAACGTTGAAATGACAGATGATTTCTCCTACTCTTGCCCGACCCTAACAAAATTATACACGTGGCCTATTTTAATTATGCATGCATATCAAAGTAAGAAGAAAATATATAATATCGCACTGAGTACATCGTAATCGTGATGACTACAATGAGCTATTTTTTTAAAAGTAGGTGGGTAGGTCCAAACCTTTTTTTTTAATTCTCTTTAGTGAGTCCTACTTTGGACATAACAAACAAAAATAAAAGAAAAAGCTGAAAAGATAGCAATACTTTGCAACTGTTACAGATATTTTAAATATATATATTATAAAAGTAGCCTTATGGTTTCTTGGTGGTTATTAATTATTATCATTTTTTTAATAACTTAATTATTTATTATCATTATACTTATTACCAAAAAATATGTTTAGATATAGAGAAAGAAAAGATAAGACAAGACTTGTCTATTCACCGAATTCCTACTCACAGTTGGTGTGATTTAATAAAAAATACGCACGTAATTTATAATTATAAAATGAGATAAATAATGAATAAAGAAATTAAAAAGGATAATTGAATTTTATTCCAAATTTAGTTATTGTTCTTATTCATCACTTTCTTAATTTTGTAATTACGATATATTGATAAATTTGAAATACACACTCTTCTTATGTTTGGCACCTTAGATTTGGAACTTTAGATTTGGAATTGAAAAAAATTTGGTAGAAATTTTAAACAAAACTTCCTCTGAGCTCAAACCCAATATATTAATTTGGTGCTTTCAAACATAACATCTATGTTTTGGGAGTATCAATTTGTTGTCTTCGAATTGAAATTAGTTGGAATTTAATTCAGTCTTTCAACTAAATTTCTCCAATTTCAAATTCACAACGTGAGTGTTCCCAAACCTAACATAATAATTTTTTTGGTTAAGTGCAAAAAATCCCCTGATATATAGGGTTTGTGCAAAATTAGTCTTTACTTTTTAAAAATGTGCATGTTAGTTCATAAAATTCAAAAAATAAAGTGCAAATAAGCCCCTCTGACCACTTTTTGGTCAAAATTGACATTAAACAAATTTAAAAACCCTAAATTACCCTTTTCTATTCCTATTCTACCCTTTTCCAAGGCACTGCTCTCTTACGCCCCTCGCTAATATGCATCACAGCCACCACAAAAAATAGTGTAGCTGGCAACACCCATCAACAAGCAGGGCAGGCTCGAATACAGGGGCAGAAATAATAGAAGACTTTACCAGCCGAGGGGACTATACATCTGGGTCCTATCCCATCTCAAACACGGATTCCTTAGTGGGTCTCTTCAGCAGGTAAGGTGGGGCTGAATTTCGTCTTCTCCGTCGAGATTATGTGTGTGTCATGATTAGGTAAGAGGTTGTGGGCACTTGGCTCTTCAGCTTCAGGCTTTGGTAATGTAATTAACCCAGCATTGATAAGGTCTTGAATTTGATGCTTCAGTGAGAAATAATCTTCAATGGAATGTCCCACGGCTCCTAAAGGGTAGTTGTTAAAGTGAAGTATAAGCTAACACA